ATATTTTATTAATTTTCATAAACATTTACAGAGATTTTGGGCTTCCACTCATTCATTGTTGCACTATTCTCTCTACCCTCCTCCCAGTTTGTTCCTGTCCAAATGCCACAGTGCTTGTCAAAGCCAGTGTAGAATAGAAATTAACATTGCTGGGCCGTGGACCATCTTTCCCATGATTAGTGTATATAAGTCCATTGAAAACCTAAAAGTAATAACAAAACACTGACCCATTCATTAAGAACCACTGTGTACTTATTCCTCACTTATCAACTCCACATTTATTATGCTAATTCTAAAAAGTCTACTATCTGATTATTTTGTGCATTTATGTCCGGCAGTAACAAATGCATGTACAAGGCAAAAATAACATTAGTTGTGATAATTTATGTTTCAGTTTAGCTGGGTCATTATTTTTAGTGTTTAGGCAATGATGTAGTTAGTCATCCTCAATTTTATTCTTTGATATGGCCAGCCCACATTTTTTACATTTTTGCATTACAGCCTGGTCTTTTGAGCCACACCACGTTGACAGGTGAAAATGGGATGATACATTTACGTAAAGTTGGCCTTCTCCTGACTTATGTCTGTTTTCAAAATATGGGGCGTTGATTCTACATTGATCACAATAATATACCTCCTCAATTGTACTACCCTCAAACTCATGATGTAGGCCAATCTAGGTGAAAAATAAAATTCCAAGTTGAACTAATTCTTCATCTAGAAGTCACAGCTTCTCTACTTTGAATATCCTTCTAAAGAGGAATACTTTACGTGCATACTGATACCATAATAAGTAAAAAAAGGAGCATGCCAAATACGTAGACCAAGTTTTCTTAGGAAAATTTTAAATTCAACAGCCCTCAGAATATTCAGAATATCATTTAATTGGAAGAACAAATCCTAAAACCCTGCCTTCATTGCATCCCAAGCTTTGCAGGGTAAGAAAAGTTTGGAAATGACTCTACTGAATATTAGCCAGACATTGGATTTTTTAAATTATAGACCCAAGGTTTTTGTATATGTTTCATTTACTCCAGGATAGAACAAAAGACTACTTTGACCAAAACCTTTGCCAAAAACAGTATTGCTTTTTCTAGTTTTAAGTATTAAACAGGCATATAAAGTTGTATCAGTTTTTGGTAATTGGTATAATATAAAAGAGATTAATATATCTTCCACTTATTTTCTCTAATAGAAGGATCAGACAGGTATTATCCTGGTCGAGAAGAAGAAACAAATGAAATTGAACGTCAGCAGTCACAAATCCATGACACCCATGTGCGAACACGAGCGGATGATAGTAACAGGAATGAAGTCAGAAGCACGCAGCAAATGTGTAAGACCCCTGCTTTTCATTAACATGATTTGTTTATAAATAACTTTAAAGCTTTGAGAGCATGTCCATCTATAGTTTGTTATTACCTTGAATGTTTTTAGAATGAACAAGGGATAGTATAAGACTTAAAGAAAATGAAGCATTACACTTTTGTTTTCCAACAGTAAAACAACTCCTTCCTTACATGAATGTCCCACTTTAAGTAGACTGGCTGAAGGGCAGGGCAGGGTTCAGAGCTGTTGTACATAGAGTTGCTATGAGTCACAGACAACCCGACAGCACATGGCAACAACAACATTTTTTCCCAAAACTGAAATCCGGATTGAAGTGTGCTAGTCCTTAATTCACTGGAGGATCAGCAATGAGCTGTCTCCAACTTGATAGCAATGTGTTTGAAGAGCTCTGGTCACATAGTCCATAGAGATTTGCTCTGGTGACCCAATGGCAGTACTTCTCTGGTGGTTCAGTTTCACATGCAATGTCCTTTCCTTACATAACCTGCTGGAGCAATAGCAGGGGTTTATCTACATACATGTTTTCGAAAGAAACTTTTTTAAACTGTTGTATGTACTGTGCTAATCATTCAGAACACTAGCGATAAAATCATGATAAAAATACACCACAGCTCTTCATAGGTGTGATATGCATGATTTAAAGTAAAAATGGAGATAGGTATGATGAAGAAGCTGTTTATATAGAACTGTGGTACAATGGAAAATATTTGGTAACTGCTCTTCTAAATTTTTTTCAAAATATTTCAGTATTATAGTTAGCACTACCCCTTTTCTCCCAAAGCTAGAAGTCAAATCTCTTAAGTTTTTCTTTAAGTATTTTAAAAAGTTTTGGAAATAAAATTGTCTCCACTTAGGATTCTGTAAAAAAATCATAGTTTATGATAGAAGAATCACATCCAAAGTTTTAGCTATTTTAGTATTTTCTTAAATAACAGTCTTTTCTTTTCAATAGTTTTTAATTGTAAATTAATTCAATAGGTTACAGAAATTTACCAACTATTTAATAATGCAATATAGGTATGCTTGAACTACAAAAATCCTTCATTGTACTTGTCTTGGATTCATACATGTTTAAATGGCTGTATTTTTATTCAACTTCTGTATAAAAATGATGTTTGTGTTCATACACCTGTTATATTCCTATAAAAGTAGTTTTGCTTTCACAAAACATTTGGTGGGGTGGTTTTTCTTGTTATGTGCCATCAAGGCCACTATGACTCACAGTGACCCTGTGAACAATAGCATGGAATCTTGTCCTGTCCTGTGCCATCCTCACTCACCCATGCTTGAGTTCATTGTCACAGTTACTTACTATGTCAACCCATCTTGTAGAGGGTCTTCCTCTCTTTATCTTTCTCAGCAAGATGTCTTTTTCTGAGGACTGGCCTCTGCTGCCAAATTGCTTAGAGTTGGTGAAGTAAATTATAGTCTTTTACATGTGATCAATGAAAATGTAAATAATTTCTCATAACTAAATTATGAGAACCAAACAGAACAGGAAGCAAAAGTAAAATAAGAACATAAACCTCTAGAGTAAAGGCTATTTTCTGCTTCTAATTCAGACTCAATTGTCTACTGCATCATGTTACTTTCAATGATTATAGGATTACTTAGAGTAAAGCATTTATGCAGCAATTAGTATAAAAATTATTTTTCTCCTTTTAGCCCAAATTGTTTCTTGTGAAGTGAGATTAAGAGACCAATGCAAAGGAACAACATGCAATAGGTAATGTTGTTTATTATTATTATTATTATTATTATTATTAAAATTAACTGATAAAAAATGAAAATTTGTTTTTAACTGAAATTCAGAAAACTAATTGTTTTCCCCATTATATTTTAGATATGAATGCCCTGCTGGTTGTTTGGATAGTACAGCTAAAGTAATTGGCAGTGTACATTATGAAATGGTAAGCATCATAAATACTATCACTTCTTGATATTGCTCTTCTGTATAATATTATATTGATAGTACTAAAACTATAAAATAATATTATGTGAAACCAAGATGCTTCTTTTTTTTAATTTTTTTTCTATAATTGTATTTTATTAATTTTCATAAACATTTACAGAGATTTTGGGTTTCCATTCATTCCTTGTTGCACTATTCTCTCT